TTATTTTAGGTTCAGATTTGATCTTTTGTAGAGCAAATTCATCTAGGAATATGCTCCAATATTGGCTTCACATCTGACAGGTAGAACATGGCGATCTCTATGAGATACTGAGAATCTTATCCTGATAGGACGTTCTGTTGTTGAGAAAGCGTTACTATATCGTGTAGTCATGGTTTTCTGACAAAGTACCGATTTCTCTGCATGAGATTGAGCGGTAGAGAAATCCTTTCCAACATTCGACAGAGCTCATGGAGTTGTACGTAGAACATGAGTAGTCTTGCTGTAAAATGTGCCCAAATGGATCGGCGAAAAAGAATGCTGCAGAATTTGGACGTAGGTGAACTTGGCTTCGAGTTCGACTAAAAGTTGCCCAAGTGCATGTAGGAAATTGTTCCACAATTCTTATTCGGTGTTCGAAGCGCAACTCGACAAGCTGTATCCAATGGTATAGGTAGATCTTCAATAGCTCAAACGAGGTGCGAAACAGTCGCAATATACAGAAACCTTCCTTAGACTTTTCTAATATAGTTGTGTAGAACTATTCTAGGAGCTTCTTCTATAACTAATATCCTTGTTCTAAGTGTAGTTTAATGAGCTCAATCTTGTGGTATAATTGGATTTTACATAGATGGAATACGGTGGAGAAAATAAGAATTAGACGAGCGGCAGCGAAAAAGCAGAGATCCAACTCGTAGATGAAACGGAATTTAGGCTCGAGATGGCGAAGAATTGAAAAGCTGTCAGGAGAGAAAACCAGAATTCGGCGCGAGACATGGAGAATGGGGAAACAGTCGCCAAGAGAAAGGAAGATTAAATGGAAGATAGTCTGAGGACGATGGAACACAAAAAACGTGATAGACATGGAGGGTAGGTCACAGCGGACAGTACAACAATCTATGGTACAAAAACTGCATCTCCCTTTCGACTCTGTGCATCGGCATCTAACGTATTTCTTGCACAGTTCTCACTATAATCTGCTTCGACCGCACGAATATTCAATTGAATGCACTACTGTACATCACCCTAGCTGTTTTCCGTATACCCTCTCACATTAAAAGACCTTTAGATCTTCTAATATGTTTGAGCGTGTAAACTGTCTAGGTAGATCTTCTATTAATGAGAGATTTTTCAATGCGACTTCCATGAAAATCTTTTAGAAAATTTTTCAAAAAAATTATTTTTTTAAACTCGTGCTTATGAGATAATATCGTCATTAATCGTGCTGTGTTTATATGATGTTTCTCGTGTGTGTGACATATTTTGTGAAACATAACATAAAAGAAATGTTGCAGTATATAGGAAAGTAACTTGAATCCACTGTCCCAGTCATCTTCTTAAACATCATGACCAGCATCCTAGAATGTCATGAAAGACCGTGCCGAGTATAAAGCCTTTCTTCCTTCTCGCTACCGACTGCTGTAGACTTCGTTGATACATGATCAAAGAACGAATAGCACTAATATCCTATCAGAATATATGAACTATTTCCTCTTTGCAATGAATCGAATAAAACAATTTTCATGCGATTAGTAACAACAGCTACATCGTGTTTCAAATTTTACCCACTTAAAGATTGCACTAGCGGCTTTTTCTAGTATCATCAAAACAGTGCTTATTCGATTAGATTTCTATGATCGTCTTAAGTTTCGTCTTTCGATTGTACGTTAATATTTACAGAAGAATCCAGAAATCTATCAAAGCTCTTGAAAGCACAGAGATGTACACATTTGTGTTGGCAAAATTACAAGTTTTGGATGTGGAATAAGTCGACAGAAATCCGTGCAAAAAGGAGATGGTATGAGTAGCATCTGGGGTACTTTCAGCAAATTGGGTTCCTATTCATACTCATCGAAATCATGCATTGGATCCTAATTAACTTAAAGTGATAATTATAAATTATTACGCCGAATTCCAACAGTGTTTTTAACCAAAATTTTATGAAATTGCATCATCATACTTAGCCATTTCGATGGCTTTGCCCAAACAATAATTATTGCAAAAAATTTGAGTCTAACACTTCAATCACTCAAGTGCAAAGAAAGAATCGGTATACAGTTAAAAGAATCTCAATGAATACTGTAATTTAATATTTGAACTTATTGTTCAACTCTTTTTTTTTTATTGAAATTGGTATAATTTCGTCTTAGGTTGATAAAAAGTATAGTTACATGTAAAGGAGGTGTTCAAGAAGGAGCACACTATATCAAGCTTATCCTGGTTCTCTTCAAATGGATAGGGAGTATCTTCCAATCATCGGATGAGGCTGAAAACCTTCGACCCGCATATTTAGATATGAAAACTGAAAAAATTCAAGAAAAATCTTTTGAGAATTTTTCTCGGTAGATTAAAAAACCCGAATCTCCTAATAGATTTTTCAAAATTTAGCCAGAAGGAGTCTTCTACTATGGGGAGCGGCGAAATCACAAAATGAGCATTATTTTGTTACAAGAAACGAAAATATTAAGCTGCTGCTCTATTTCACGACAAAGGAAATTGTGAATTGAAATCGTAGCTATTCTAACCTCTAGTCAATATGATCAGCTGCAGCAAAAGTGAACGAAGTCTTCAAAAGTTTTTACATACATCGCATAACATACTAGCAGGAAATGATAACAAATGGAATATTTTGGGTCAAATACAAGGGAAAAACATCGTGTTTTTGTACTTCAACAGAACATGCTATCAAAATAAGATTTTCAGTATCTGATAGAGCTCCTTGAGTCGTGCTTGAAACACATGAAACCAATAGTGGAACATATTTCGGGAGGAATTCGTCCTAAAGAAGATCGAATCTGGATCTAACATAATTTAGATGGCACAAAGATCGAAATTTAGCAGAAAGTACTATTTTTTATTTCATTTTGCTTCAGAGTGTTTCTGCACACTGTACGATGTCGGACTCTGCACCATAGAAGACTATGAGTATTTTTCATAATCTTTGCCACACCGTATTCCAATTGGCGCAAGACTCATTCTAATATCCTCGTATTCTGATTGGTGTATTGATAATCGGAGGGAGAGAAAAAATCAGAGAGAAAAATTAGAAAGAGAGAGAAAAAAAGACAAAAGTAACGGAGTGAGAGAAAGAAAACAAGAGAGAGGAGAGAGAATAAGGGAGAGAAAATAAGAGCAATAGAAACGTAAGAGTTGAAGGTATAAAACCGACGAACACTATCGATAATTTCACCTTCCGAAAATAAACGATCCAAGTCAACGAAGCATAAGGTAAGTGTTGTGCTTGAGTTATTGGAGTTGATGCGAAATTTCAATTGGCAACAAATTGAAAACTTATGCCTCTACATCTGAATAGAAATATAGAGGTACAGAGATATTAGAGATATTGGAGCATTACAGACACAAACAAAAGTAGTTCGTTCCTAGGATTCTGTTCTCACCCACTATACATCTATAAAGACTGTAAAATAAGTTTTGACTCTCTCACGTAATATTATTAGAATTTCAGTTTTGTGCTTATTATTGTTACAGACATACAAGCGATGTCAAAATTATAAAAATTTTTGAAAACATTTTTACCGTTTTATTAGTAATGTTACATAACAGATACTGCTCGAAAGGAGATTAACAATCGAATTTCTCTTATATATCTATTTTCCACTTTGATCTATCACGTGCTTTTGTCGATTTGGTATTTTTTTCATTATTTCTTCGTGTTTTGCTGCAGTAAACGTTCTCCATTGTTGTACTAGTTGGTCTTCGAATTCTAATTCGTTCCCAAACTGTTCGTCTCTCAGTCTTTCATAAACTGCATCCCGTACACTTTTGATTGGTGAAATATCAGCAAATTTTGCATCACCTATTCCAGGATGAATACGTTCGTCAACTAAAGATTAAGCAATATTCTTAACAACTCTTGTCTTGTATTTACTGTCCTAATCATCTTGAGAAGTCGGTACTAAGTCAGTACTTCCAAATGCTATTTGTATCGCTGATACTACTTCTTATTCTAAAAATTTCGAGTATAAATCTCTTGTTAAATACATTTTTTTATCTGCTTTGTCTTATTACTGTAGTTGATGCAACGATTTCGTACAATTAATTGGAGCTGAACTTGCAATAAGTCCATGTCATGAAACCGATTCCCAAAACAATTGTTCCTATTTAAAATTTAGCAATAGGTATATCGATTAAAGATGGTGATATAGTTTCGCCTTCTTCTGCCCAACTGCCATCATTTCTCTGGTTTTGAAATAGTTACAAGAACCAGTCCATATGAGCCATGACTGAAATTGCTAAATTTAAGATAGATTGTAGAGGAAAGACTTTTATCAAGTTTGACGCAAAACGTTGTAAAAAATATTGAATCCTCAATTTCTTATGGGCATATTACGAAAAGTCCTAAAAGGAACCAGTTCAACCAACCAGAGTTCTGACGTGGTCATATCTCAAGAATGGCTTCGCTAATTGGGCTGAAATTTTCTACAGACATATATTTCAATGAGTGCTATTTACCACAGAATTTTTCTTTCAAAATATTAAGCTATTGGGACTTTATGAATCATCCAATATATGCAAAAAATAGAGAATTGACAGATCTATCTTCATTAAAAATTCCAGACTTCTACCGCGTTCCAATCAAAAGTTATGAAATGCCAAAGTTACCAAAAATGTGCTTTTTTTGCATATATTGGATGATTCATAAAATCTCAATGGCTTAATATTTTTGAAGAAAAATTTGATGGTATTCTAATG